AATAACACCGAATAAACGGCAAGGTAAAGACTATGTCTAATTATACGTATTATACGTACTGCGTCTTGTGACGTAGCTCCGCCCCCGAGGTATGTAAATTATGTTATAGAGCGCCATCTATAGTTGACTTTAGTAAGATATTTTCAATATGGCGAAAGGATAACAACAACGACTGGTTGCGCGAGTACAATTGATTTTTGTTGATCGAACAGATGTGTAATATTGAATGCATTAGTAGATAAAGGTACGTAGAAAAATTGGATATGATATATAGCAATTCAATAATGTACTGGATTAGTTGATCGCCGACATTTTGCAGCCCGTGATATCGGCAGGTTTGGGCGTAAATATATAAATGCAAGTTCCGCTATTGTTAGAGGTGTATACGGGAATATGTCCTAGTTGTATATGTGTTTGCGCACGGTTACTAGAACTAGAACTAGTAACCGTGGTTTGCGTTTATCAGGAACGTACTTCGGACATTGTACAACACTATGCGATCATTAAAATTCCCACCGTGAACTGTATCCCAAAATGCCGGAATGTATCTTCATAGTGGTCTGAGGCATAAGCAAGCTTTTCATCGGAAATATGTAACACATTCCGCGTTCATTTTGAGGGTGGACCAATGTTCAAGAGTGAACAAAATTCGCCATGAATTTGTTTGTAATATACAGGAAAAATAGTGTATAATACTTGTGATTGGGATATTCTCCCAATGAGTCATCTAATTCTCCTTAGTACATAAATTGAATGGAGAATTTGTCTAAAATAAATACATGTAGCTCTCAATATTATGAGTATCTGTACAACCTCCCAAGCCTTATCTTTCATCATGTATGTAGTCAACTTATACTTTCAGCAGCGTAACAAAGCACCAATTTCAATTCCAGTAAACCATCTTTATCTTTCACTATTTATTTAATTAATATTTAATAAACAAATTTACGTGTGCAAGTGTATATACCAAAATTGCAACAATTCTTTTTCTCCATTAAATATATTAGAAACATAATACATAAGTTTAATAAATATATTAAATTCTGAAGACCAGATTTGTTCAAAATGTGTTACAATGTTTGTACAATGCCCAAATTGTCTTCCTAATAGACAAAAATTGTGTTAAATATGACTAGTATGAATGAAAAAAATCATACAATAAATCAATGGTAAAAAAAAAACAAGCAAAAAATAGACTATTAAATCTAAGAAATAAATCAAGAAGAAGCTATCTCAAGAAATGCAAAACTTAGTGAAGCTGACTCTGTGTTGCACATTTTTGATTTGTTCTAAATATGGTTCAAAATAAAAAAAAATTGTTTAAACTTGTTAGAAGTACATAGCTTATTTATTTCTGGTTTAAATATCGTTGGCAACCAGACTTTATTATAGTAACTTTGTTTGAATTTGGTTTTGAATTCTATAGTGTTAGATTCATCGCTAATTTTAGTTAATGTGAATAATCTTTTAACAAATGCTGTCCAAGAATTACCATTCATTTTATTGTCAGTATTTGAAGCATAGTCCAGAAGATGATTATTTTTAATGGATTTTAGCCTTTCATAATAACGGATGATTTTCAAATGTTCAGCTAGCAATATGATAAAATTTGCAAATGTTTTCAACCTAGTATGAACTTAAAAATTAAACAAGCAGCCTATCGGCTGAGATAGCTCCGCTGTTAGAAATGCACATTTCAATTAAAGAACTGAAGACATCATCAGAAAATGAACAATATGTATAGTATCAAAGCAATCGGACTTACAGTTTTTAACAAGAAGTCGAAAATATCACTTTCTACCAAAAATGACCAAAATATTCACCAAAATTAGAGAATTGAAGATATCATCACGAAATGAACAAATCTGAGAAAGGTCT